ATAAATAAATTTAATTATAATTAATTAATTAAAAGTTAACCATTATTTTTCTAACATGACTTATAATAAAAAAATTTATTTATTACATTCTTAACATATATTATAAAATCACATAATAAAAGAATTCATTAGAATAAAATTAATTTTTGTGATTGAAAGCCATTGCACTCATTGTTTTTAAAACTGAATTGGAGGTCAAACCGTTTTGATTATTGGTTCATGATTTTAATGGTTTAATCAATTTAACTGGATAAAAATCCAAGTTGATTGAATTTTGAAAATATATGTTAAATATAATATAATGCAATATTTTATGAAAGAAAAGAAGTAGCTCTAGTGGTTGGAATGCTCATCACTGTCATATAGGATTAGAGTTTGAATCTCAAATGTATGAAATTTATTTATTTATATAATTCCATTATAATAAATAAATCTCAAGACAATAAAAATCAATAAACTTTCTTCGGATTAGGTGGCAAAAGTTATTCTCAATATACAAGAGGGCAAGTGTTCGAATCATGTGATTCTCCTTTAATCTTATAATATTCTTTAAAATATAGTCTTTGTTACCCATTTCATTACAGGTTTACTCGCTCTGGTGGTAAAAGAGTTGTCCAAATTTCAGGAGGGCTCATGTTCAAGGCCCAACGGCAGCAACAAAGCTTGCAAGTCTTCTCCAAATAATTGGTCCGGTTAGTCGGATGGTTTTTCGATTTTTATCGGTTTAGATGGTTTGAACATTTTAAGCGGTTTAACCCTCTAAACAGTTTTAAGTACTAACCCGACTCATTTCTATTACTGAGTATTGATCCGATCGGTTCAATCAACTGGTCCGATCCGATTTTCAAAACAGAGTTGCATTAGAATCAATAAATAAATAAATAAATATTATTCATATAATATAATACAATACTTCTAATTATTATAATTATAATTATAAAACAATACAGGCAGCCTTATTAAATAAAGCCGAAGTTAATTATGGTCCTTCTCTTTTTAGTACTATAAAGCGCGGCAGCCTCAGGCTCTCGTCAACGAAATCCTACCCTTTTGATATGTCAGCCAAAGAGCCCAGATTGGACGAGACAAGACGAGACTAGTCCGGTCAAGAGATTCTATCGGACCCCAATGACACTGTCATCCATGTGCGTTGGTGTTAATTGGAGTAAAGAAAAAAAAAAAGATTAATGGAAATTAAACTCGACTAAGATAAAGTGACGAGTTTCTTTAAACTTATTTTT